TACCCAAAACACCCCGCCCCCCCCCCAATAAAAAACTTTACTAGCTGTAACTAAGAATATTTTTAAACCAAGTATCTATTTAAATCATTATGTACATTGTTTTCATCCAACAATACCACCTTCATATACCTTCCCTAAACCACAAACCTGTTAACACTATCCTAATGTGAAATAGCTGTAAAATCAGTATTTAAGTTTCTCTCTACTCCTCTTCTAGATCAATCAATCAGAAATTAAGAACACTCTCATCATAAAGGTAAATGGTTAATAACCTAGGTGAGAAATGTAATACAAGCAATGGCATTTTCTAATTCCCATTCTATATAAGGATGGGGATAGAGGGATGAAGGTGAAACACTTTGTTACTGACATTGTAATTTATTAATTGAACTGCGGAAGGCCTTCTAACTAAAATACATGAAGAAAGATATGGAAAATAGTCAAAATTTCATTCTGGACCAGTGGAAGGGCAATCTTCTTAAAGTGAACTTAAAAAGACAAGGGAGAAAAATAAAAGCAGTTTACATCCTAGTGTGTTCGGACCATTAACAAGAACTCTTTAGATAGATAGATGATGGATAGATAGATAGATAGAAAGATATAAATATATGCTGATTTTATATATATATATATAGTATATATACATATATACACACACTATCTATGTATATACAGATAATATATATATATATTTACACACACACACACACACACACACACACACACACATATATATATATATATATAGTCTCAGAGACATTGTGTCTCTGAGACACTATTCATATTAATCAGCATATATATATATATATATATATATATTTTCATATTGGATATCATGACCTCTCACTGCTGATATAAAATAAATATCCTCATAAATCTGCCCTTGAGGAGGAAACCTTCTCAGTTAGAATGCTCTGTGCTCTGTGCTCCAAATCAGAACTGGAAGGTAATGCAGCACGCTGAACTGGGTGTTAGCTTTTTAACATCCTCTAATACAAGCATTTCATGTTTTTTCCTCTTCAAGAGTCCCACAAGATGTCCCAAGATTTAAAAAAATAAAATGAAGGCCCTGCCAGGGGAAAGGTTCAGATCCCAGCCCTACTGTCCAAGCAGATGTCTGGTCAAGAACGTCCTCCAACTTACCCTTTTCTAGTAAAGCCCTTACTGTAAGCCAATGTTTTGATGTGACCCTGGGGTACGAAGTCACAAAGATTCCCTTGGTGTTCTATGAACTGATCCAAAAGAACATATCATTTTTAGGGAGAGCAACTGCCACAAAGGTTTAGAGATGTTAAGTTTTACATCTGACTAAAGGCAGTTTACTATAATTATAGAGGCACCAATACTATTTTAGCCTGGGTTTTGTATAAAATATGCTCTTAACTTTAAATCAGCTTATGCCTTTTTCCAGCCTGTCATTTTCACTTTTCACTTTGTTATCATGAGTTTTGTTCATTATTTTTTCCTTAAATTTATAGCCCCCGAAAGGTTCTTCATATGGATCCTGCACATTTCTTACTGGGTTTTCAAGCTATTTATATAGTTTGTCCATGTTATATGTATAATAATTTATCCACTCAAATTTTTTTTCTTCTCTTTATGTAGAAAAGATAGCTCCTGCAGAATACTCATTTTGAAAAAAGACATTCTTTCTGAATTTCAGATTATATTACAGCCTTCAATGGTTTTTCACTTTCCTTTGGGCATAAAACTTTCAGGAAAGTATTTTTAAGTATTAATATGTTTGTTTTATACTTCTTCCCACATCCATAATTTACATAATTCTTGAAACTGAGCCCTATGAGCCTCTTTATTATTACCACCATCTGCCCACTAATAAACATCAGATACCCATGGGGAAAACAGCATCAAATTTTGGGAATATTGAGATAAAAAGATCAAGAAGCTCAGTGAAGAGTGAGTTTCTCTAATTGCAAAAGCTAGTGAGGACTAATGTGTACACTAAATAAAAGAAAAACAAAAAGAAAAAAACAACTGAGAAAAGAAAAATGGCCTAGAGAAAAAGGAATAGAGACACAGTGTTCTGAAGATTTATTCTCATTGGCACTGAGTTGAAAGGCCTGGAAACCCTAGTGTCACATGAAGAGTGAGGAAGAGCTCTGAACTTTATGCCCAGTCTGAGCAGATGTTCAACAAATCCTTTCTCATTAATGAGTGAATGCCATTTAATATGAAGGGAAAATACGAGGGCATGAGAACTTTCTTCAAAAATTATAAGTTTGGTTTGTGAAAGAAGTCGATTTCTTAGAATGATTCAAACAGATATTCTTAGATCGAAGAAAAGGAAATTAATATGGACAGCAATGTTTTGTTTGTTTTCTTCAGGGGAAAGAATAGCTTTCCAAAAATAAAAAGTCTACAGTGATGAAAATCATTCATTCACCAAATACCTCTGATAATACAGGTGATGGCCAAGGTCTAGGTTTTCAATGGTGGCCATTGTAAATCTTAAACTCATAAAGATGGAGAGAGGAGGGAGGAAGGGAGATAAATACTGAACGATTAATTATATGATAATTGAATCCCAAGTCAGATAATGATTCTTAAGAAGAGCTGTATAATACTATGAATATTTTAACTAGAGCACTTCATCTGGTCTCAGGGATTTAGGATTCCCTGAAGAAGTGGCATCAGGGTTGTGTGTTTAATGATGAGAAGTTCTAAGTAAGGGGAGGATGGGGAGAGACCGATAGGTTACCAGGTAGTGGGAGATTGTGTAAAGGCTGCAGGCAGGAAAGGGAAGAGTCAGTTTGGGAAATAAAAAGAAAGTGAGTGTGGCAAGAGAGGTGAGTGAGATAGAGTGCATGGTGCCTGACTCAGATTAGAGAAAATTCATTTAGTGGTGACCACCAAGGAGCTGGGCAGAAACTAGCATAGTGACCTTGCACCTAGAAAGCCATCTTCATGATCTCCAACAAAGACTTTTCAGCCAATTAGCTTAACTGTTTGAGTTAGAGTGAACTCCTCAATGTCCCAAGATCCTGTGTGCCCAGTCACTCACACTACTTGACCCTTGACCCTTTTACTGTGGATACTATTAAGCTCTCCAGAATAGACAGTACGAGACTCAGAAATCTTGTGTGTTTTTTTGTTTTGTTTTTTTGTTTTTTGTTTTTTGCTTCTCTAATATATTTTATTGATTTTTTACAGAGAGGAAGAGAGGGGGACAGAGAGTTAGGAACATGGATGAGAGAGAATCATCAATCGGCTGTCTCTTGCACACCCCCTACTGGGGATGTGCCTGCAACCAAGGTACATGCCCTTGACTGAAATCAAACCTGGGACCTTTCAGTCCGCAGGCCGATTGCTCTATCCACTGAGCCAAACCGGTTTCAGCAAGACTCAGAAATCTTGAAGGATGATTCTATTGTATAGGAAAATTCTTGCAACTATGTAATCTGACACAAATGAGGTTGTTCCTCTCTTTTCTTATAGACTTTTTCCTTTTATTTTTCTAGTTGCAAAGCCTTGTAGTTCCAATAGTTCCTATACAATGTTAAATAACTGTATTGACATTGGATATTTTGTATTTTTCTTGATTTTTAATTTGTCTAGTATTGCTTCATTAAATATTATGTTAACCTTCTGACTTAAAAATGCTTTTCCAATTGAATTTAAATGCATTTATTGAATTATAGCTTATTAGAATGTATTATATTTTAAAGCAGAAATGCATTTTAGGTAATTTACATGTTTTCCCCACTCTGCTGCATAACTTCTCTGAGTTGGAGACATGTTTTCTATTTCAAGAATTAAAATTCATCTAATGGAGTAGAGTATGCTAAATATAATATGGTGGGATGGGTGGAGGCATAGAGGCTGTGACACTGTTAGCAGATCTCTACACACATCTCTTTTCCAGTCTTTTTGCTTTTTGTTAAAGGATGGTTTAAAAATATATGCCCAACGTACTCAAACGCTTCTAGAAGATAAGGTAAATTTGACTTCCTATGATTTCTTACTGTGGTGAGAATAGTTTCTAGCACAAGATATAGGCATGTGCCCTAAATTTCCTATAGAGAATTACCAGGGCTGACCATCAACCCCTAAATTATGGATGAACAGATTACTCAGACACAGTTTGACTGTGAGAGGACTAAGGGGCTCCTGGCTCTAGTGGCCAGAGCAGCCTCGATTGCCTGCCTCGTTAGGCTTTTATTGCAATTTTTATTTTTAGATACCATCAGTAGGGTGAGTAATCTTGGGAGGACACATGTGTTTACATTGTCCTCTAGGCAAAGGCATCCAGGGATTAAGCATGAGGATTCCGGTAAACACCTAGGGATCTGCACATGCACAGACTTGTTTGTAAAGGTCGAGGAATAATTATGGGAACCACCTTCAATGTTCCCCTAAGTCTCCCCTAAGTCAGAAACCTGGTAAACAGGGCAAGCGGCCTTCCACACACTTCCTTGTTATCAGAATATCCTCCTCACAAACTTTGCAACCAAGTCTCTTATGCTCCCCAACAGAGAACCCCAAAGATCCCATCTAGTCCTTACTACATGTCACAAAACTCAAAGCTAATAATATTGTTATTTCTTCTCCTGCATTGTCTTCTGGCTACCCTACTGCACCAAGATTCCACATCTGTCCCAGTGATAATGTGTTTGACTGAAGCACTTCACCTGGTCTCCGGGATTTAGGATTCCCTGAGGAAGCAACATGTGTGTTTAATGATAAGAAGTTCTATATAAGGGAAGGATGGAGAGAGACCAGGTAGTGTGAGACTGTGTAAAGGATGATTCAATAGATACAATATTATACAATACTAGAGGCTTGATGAATGAAATACTACTTGGCCAGACTGCAGCCTCCACCCTCATAGCCCTGGCTTAGTCAGGAAGGTTGTCTGGAATGTCATCCAGAAAGTCCTTAGGCCATCCAGTCTAATTAGCATATTACCCTTTTATTGTTATAAATAAGCTGAAAAGATAAGGAATACTCCCCACTTAGTTCTTTCTGGCTACTGTCCAGACCCAAAGATTTTGCTGAAAAATGGCATGTGACCAAAACTACAAGCTTGAATCTCTAGTTGGAAAATTCTGCTATAAGACACTTGGCTTCTCAAAACAAAACTAGTGTCTCCTGTTACAGTGCCTTTGTCTATAGCTTTGTCCCAGAGATGTGATAAAATTTTCTAAGACAGAGGTTTCTCCCAGCATACAACTCCCTCAGCTGAAAACCCTGCCAATGTGGTATAGTTTGAGGGAACAGAGGGAGAGTTATAAATAGTCCATCATTATAATTAAACATGGAATTGTCACTCATCAGGTGGCTATACCATTCATAAAGACCTTCCCAGCTCATTGCACTGGACTTCTTATTTTGGTTCTTATGAGGTAACTAATGTTCTCTATAATTGAAAGATTATCGATTTTGAATGATCTCTAGGAGCAAATGGACATGATGATAATTTGCTTAACTGGTCAGTGGGTGTCGAACAATTTTTATTTATTAATTTACCATGATTTCTTTGTGTCCCCTGAATTTCTTACTTGATTCCAGAAAAGGTCATGCATCAAACAGGGAATTTGTGGTTGGCTATCATCAGTCATCTTGCTGTTACTTTTAAAGAGGAAAAAGGTGGAGTTTGGCAGATCAGGTGGACAAAGAGAAAAATTAACACAACATAACCTCAGGTTTATGGCACTGAAAAGCTAGTTAAATGCACCGAGGACTGTGCATTGTAGTAAAATTCCTCTGGGAATTATAAAGTAAAATAAAAGCTCTCCGTGGAAATACTTTAATAGTGCCTAAAGCAAACTGTTTTATATTTTCTCCTGTGGGAAAATGAGAACGATTGGGTTCATAAAACTCTGCACAAGGAATATTGTTTGATGATGCTTTCTGAGGTTACTGACAACAGTAATGATTCTCATTTAGAATTTGCTATCAGTCATTTCAACAGTTCAACAAATATTTCAGTCACGATGAGTTAAAGTTAACTTTCTCAGTCCTTCAAATAATTACCTGACTCTTCACATAATGACTCCTTATACTGTTACCTTAAATTTACATAGCACCTCTCTGAGGAGCACAAAGTGATTTTCAGACCATATCTCATTAATTCTTCTAAAAGCACTGCCAGGGGAGAAGGCCAAGATAAATTAGAAAAGACTGTTTCTACTTTGAAAAAAAAAAAAAAAATCCTTTCCAAGCTTCAAAAAATCTTCTCCATCCATACATAAAGTCTCTGTATGTGTGATCATAGCTCCTATTGTTAAGCAGCCAAAGATTCCTCTAACATTCTTTAAGTTTGCTTTGTATCTGTAACAACAATTTAAAAGAAAGAAAAAAAAAACATTTCTGATGCAATCTCTTTAAGTTACAAGAAATAGAAAGCAAGAAGCCTTGCATACATTGAGTAAGTGAAAGAATATTTGACACAGTCTGGAAGGACTTTTTCAAGCACGTATACAGGGGAACAGACTGCAATAAAAGAACTTGATCATGTTTATCGTCAGCCTGGCTTGAATCTCCAGGTGAGTTTTCATTGCTGCAAACACAAGTGAGGTTTCAGCAGGCTTGCTAAGGGCCATGTTGAGCATCTGGACAGGTTCTGAAGCAGTTGTTATGCAAATGCCGTGAGGGCTATCAAAGGTGATGTTCACAACGTACTGAGAAGTAATGAGTCTTAAGCAAGAGTTTTGATTTTTTTCAGTGTTGACACTTGTTAATGGGGAAGACATGGAAACTTGAGGTCAAACTTGCTGGTCTGTCATGCACTTCTCACCAGTTCTGTAAAGAACACAATAGAGGGACATTTGATTCTCTCTTGGAAACAAGTTCTAAGAGCCATGTAAGTATCAGAAATATAAGAATCTGAGGCTGAATCATCCAGTATCTTTCGGTACAGCTGGTCCTCACCAGAAGTACTGGGCATGATTCAGGACCCCAAGTGCATCAAGGAAGATCATAGAATGGAAATCAACAGAATAATATAAATAAGGTCAACAAGACCAACAGAACAAGAGCCTTTTGAATATTCCTTTGGTCATTGACTAGACTGTACTTGGGTCAGTGTTAGCAAATGGTTCAAAGAAGCCAAGAGCTCAGTCCTCTACCAGAGGGTGCCCACTGTTCTGGTACCAGTGTAATAACCTGGTTGTTAATTAACAGGGAAGGAGCAAATGGAAGGCAACCATTATAGACATGCCCAGTGAAGTCTGAGTAAAATAGGAAAGGTATTTTCCCATCAGTCACATCTGGAAATAGGTCATTGGCCAGAGTGGGCCACTGCAAGTACAGGAAGATTTGAGATTCATAAGCTCCTGAACAAAGTTCTCTCTCCTGACTTGCAGGACTCTCACACTTCTGCATCTGCCCACATGGCAGTGGCCACCTGGACACAATGTACTGATGGACTACAGCTAGCCTGATGGTGTGCCAGACCCAGCTCCACCATGGAACGGAAACCCTGGACACTGGGTTTGCTCCTAGTGCAGCTGAATCCTCAGCTGCACATCTTCCAGGACTGGATTAAGGGAAATGAGATTTTGGAAACTCAGGGTCATACAAATAAAGCTTTGAACTATATCTCACCCTACTGTGGGGGCTTCCAGAAATGCTTATTCCAAGCGTACCCCAAGAACCCCACTCCCACTAGCAACAGAGAAATTTAAACCATGCATTTCTCTGATAACACTTCCTCTCAGCAGGACCAGGAAGGTAAGAACTGAGACCGCAATCTACCTGGAGGAGCAGAAAGGTAAACTCATCCACTTGGTGAGGAGCTCTTGTATGGGGTGATTAGTCCAAAACCGCCAGGAGTAGCTGCTACACTAGACATTGGCAGTGGCAGCCACTACAGCAGTGTGAGAGGGAGTAGGAAGGACAACATCTGGAGAGAGGGTTTTAATAGCAAGAGCTATACTTCACTGAAAAGACATCTGGCAAATGTTGTCCCCAAAGTGGAGCGCAGGACTTCCTACAGAAGGACAGATGCCTAGCAGTGTGGGGCTGGCACCCTGATCAGCAGCTTCACCCAGAGAGAAACCATGCGGAAAACAAATTTCCACTGTCAGGATCACCCATGGGCCAGGGCCCTCGAGGAAATTCAAATTAAAACAATAACTCAAATGTCACTGATGTGGAAAGAGCATAGAATTGGAAATTAAAAGACCTTCCTTAAAAAATGTGAAAAATCCCAAGCTTTTTATATGTATAATTCCCTTTGTTTTTAACATCTTATGAAATGGAACAAAGATTTTACCACTACTTTAGATGAAGAGAGCATCACAGACATTAATTAAACTCCTAAGGTCATTATGTTACAGAATTTACCAGCCGACCGAAAAATACACAGGCGTACTTGGAGATACAGGAAGAACCCATTTATTTTTAGATGTTTCACATGTACCAGCACAGTGACTCGGGGGAGACTGTTCTCTCCAAACCCTGTGCCAACCAATATGGAGGAAGCTCTTCCTTTATACCCTTTGGTTTCTTTGTCCACAAACATGGATGGCACTTCTGAATTTTTCATGGGCTTTGCAAAAAGCCCTGTGTGTTGGCATGGGGACAGTAACACCATACCTAAAGGCCTGGCCTGGCACCAGCACTGATAACCCCCTCTGGGTATTGTGTATTGTTCATGGTTTCCTGCTTACTCATTTTTTTCTAAGCATCTTAAACATCTTTGTAAACAACTTAGGTCATATTTCAACATCACTACAACTTGTAAATTATTGTAAAATCTTATATTCACATTTATTTTAGACATCTAATTAAATTTTTAGATACTATTTGTCTTATTCCTCTAACCTGAAATACTGCCTAACTAACCTGCTTGCATCCATGCTGTAGGTTGGGCTACAAAGATGAACGAGAATAAGTCTTCCTCTTTAGGAATTCATTGTCTAGTGGGGAAGAAAAGTAAATTGAAACTAAAAGTGGTAGAAAGTGTTAAGATACACTTAGATGAAATGCTTTGCAGCAACATGACTGATTTAATTCTGAATGTTTCAGAAAATGTTTATACATGTTTTATTATAGCCTATAAAGTATTTTTTAAAAATCATACTTCACATTATATTCATAACTGTCAGAGAGGTTTTATATGAGAAATAACATGAAGCTCATGATATCAAATGAATAGCTAATGAAGCAAATCAAAATTTGCCACTCAAAAACTTCCTTTCATGGTCATGATTTTTAAGCTGATTATTAAGAAACAAAAAACTCAGCCTGGCTGGCATGATTCAGTGGTTGAGCATTGACCTATGAACAAGGAGGTCACAGTTCTATTTAAGTTCAAGGCACATATATGGGTTGTGGACTCTATTCTCAGAGCGGTGTGTGCAGGTGGCTACTGATCAATGATTCTAATCACTGATGTTGCGCTCTCTCTCTCTCTCTCTCTCTCTCTCTCTCTCTCTCTCTCTCTCTCTCTCTCTTTCTCTCTCTTTCTCCCCCTCCCTCCCTCCTCCTTTCTCTCTGAAATCCATAAAAACATTAAAAGAAAGAAAGAAAGAAAGAAAGAAAGAAAGAAAGAAAGAAAGAAAGAAAGAAAGAAAGAAAAAGGAAGGAAGGAAGGAAGGAAGGAAGGAAGGAAGGAAGGAAGGAAGGAAGGAAGGAAGGAAGGAAGGAAGGAAGGAAGGAAGGAAGAAACTACTCAGAAAAGCATTTAATCCTCCGTTTCCTGCCCAAGAGATTTAGGTAGAAAAACCTGCTCTAAGAGGGAAATCTTAGCACACTCACCTTAGCTAATTTGAAATAAGTGTGGTAGACAGGATGGCTTCAAACAGGGGCCTGTCACTAGATCACCTCTGTGTCCCATTTTTTTCTGGGTTGCCAAGCAGGAATTCACCTGCTACGTGTGTTCAGTTGCAGACCCCTTCTCCTTTCTCTTTTGTTCATAATGACATATAAACCTCCACTGCCTAATGTATTTTGGGAATTCTCCTATCTTATGACACCTTCCTGGCATGTACATTTACCATAAACTTTGGACATTTTCTCCTTTAATCTATTTATGTGGATTTGATTA